TCCGTTATCCGCAAAAAACGAGAATAATACTGGTAACCCTAAAAACTTTAGCCCTACCTAAACCCCAAAAGTATGTAAAATAATAGCCCTAAACCCATAATAATAGCCATTAAAGCCATTATTTTACATACTTTTGGGGTCCAGGCAAACCCTAGGCCAAATAATAGCAATATCAACCGCATAAAGGCCTTCCAGGATGTCAGGTACAATCCCAACAAGGCTTAGGGTTTTAGGGGTTAGGGTTTAGGGTTTAGGGTCAACAAGAACAGGTACAGTCCCCCTCAAGTAGATAGTTGAATTCTTTAGGTATTGTCAGCTGGGGGATTACGAGGATCTTATCGTGATTTAGGGTTTAGCGTTTAAGGTTTCGATATTCTATCTACTTAAGGGGCTCTATGAATCTCGAAACTGAAAGCTCGAATCAAGGATATGCGTGCACCACATGCAAGTATTTCAACCCCTTTGAAGATGCATATATGCATTAGACTATACGCACAATCTAGTCTCTGCCTCTACACATCTCCACATTCCACTACAGGTATACATACACTTAAGACGCCATGCCCTATAGCCCCTCAACCCTAAACCCTAAACCCTCAACCCTGAACCCTAAACTCTTTGAAGTCTCTTCGTTTTGAGAATTTACAGCAAATCACTTCCCGCTTCTAATGGAAGCCCCACCCCCCTGACAATGTCTGTTGCGTTGCCGTCAATGTATATATACATATATACACGTGTGTATATATGTATATATGTATGTGCATATATACATATATAGCTGTATCTATATATATATATATACATATGTAGTTGAGTTGTTCTGGAGGGGAAGTGATTCTATCCATACTTCAGGCTGCCCCCTGGCGTGCCTGTCGAAACACTCCAGAGCCGTAAGCCAGACACAGCTCCAGCGGCGGAAACTTGTTGTAGTCTACCTCGGTTGATTTAGGATGTTTGGTGCAGAGGTATAAGGTAGTGAGGATTTGTTGCTTCAAGGATTGATGTTTGGGATTTGAAGTGTTTCAACTTGGAAAAGCCATGACTGGGACCATTTTGGCTTTGAGAATCTGGGGGTTTCGATGCAGTGCGGGCCTCTATAAATCCCAATCTACTTGTTCCTTCATTTAGGGACTCCCATCAGGGTGCCCGTAGTTCTCGGAAACCCCCATATGAATGTTGAGCAATGGAAGAGTTCCTGTGCATTTGTACTCTGAGGGAGGTGCATCATTCCAGTTCCTGTTCGTTAGCTGGGCTTCAAAGCAGCTGAGGATATATGGCGACTATCAGGGACATGTGGGGCTGTGCAAGGGTTACCTAGGGATTATCCGTGATGCCAGCGCTAGGTGAGGTTTCAGGCTTGAGAAAGCTTTTTCATGACTTGTCAAAGCGTGAGTCCCTTTGCTCCGCTCCCTCATCAGCACCAGCTTTCAGTAGCAACTGCACAACATCCTCATGCCCCTTCTCAGCTGCATGTGAGAGAGCTGTCTGGCCTGCGTGATTCTTGAGGTTTGTGTTTACACCAGCTTCCAGTAGCAATTGAACAATGTCCTTGCATCCATACCATGACGCACGTGCGAGAGCCGTGTTGCCCTGCCAATCCGGACGATCCGTTTCTGCACCAGCATCCAACAAGAATCGTACCACTTCTGTGTGTCCATCGGCGGCTGCAAGAATCAGGGCTGATGACAAATGCTGATGACCCCACGTATCTCTGCGCGCACCCGATTCCAACAGCAGCCGGGCAACCTCTACGTGGCCGCGTTGAGCTGACCATACAAACGCCGTGTCGATGTCATACGCTTCGCTGGAGGAACCTGGGTTGCTGTTAAGGAACTTAAATTAAGTTACCATAATGGGTATATATAGTACATAAGGAGGTTTCCCCAATATAGTAACTGAATTTAAGTTCCTTAACAGCAACCCAGGAACGGGCTTCCAACAGCAACTGCGCAGTGTCCTTGTGCCCGCTACGAGCTGCAACTATGAGAGCAATCTGGCCACTATCATCCTCGGTGGCTGTTCAGAGCTTGTATAGGGATAATAATAGTGATAATGAAAAAGAAAATGGAAGTACCATTTAGGGTTTAGGGTTTTAGGGATCTAGGTTGCTGTTGAGGAGCTCGAAGTAAGTTGCCAGAATATGGATGTTTAGCAATTCAGATAATGGGGCTTCCTTATTGTAGTAACTTCATTTAAATTCCTGAACAGCAACCCAGCATCCTATAGGTTTATGTTTGCCTCAGCTGCTGCCATCAGAGCTGTGGACCCATCAATATCCCGTATGTCTGTGTGAACATCCGCTTCCAGCAAGAACTCTGCAACCTGAACGCATCCGTCCTTGCAGGCTTTACGAAACTCGTTTTCAGCTTGATCCTGTTGTGTGGCGGTGGACAACATGACCAGCTGTAAATCCATGGGCTCGACCAGCTTGGTGGCATCATCCAGAGTAGTGCCGTTCTGAAGCACGTGCTGGAGGCACACGGGGAAGTGATGCAGCCTGCACAAAGCCTGCTTCAAAGCAAGCACATTTCTTGCCTCTTCTAAACTCACAGCAGCCAGCTCATCCCCAGACATCCTCGAGATGCGGAGCATGCTTCCAAGAGGTCGCTACAACGTGGGAGTTTCTCGAAACTATATTCACATATCGTCCTCAGAGGCGGCATCATAATCCCCCCCTATAACCTATAATGCCGATCTATCCAGGTACCCAATTCTGACGTGTGCAAACAAAGCCTTTTGCAGGCGCCTGCATTCCTTGTGGAGAGAATACAACAGCCAACCATACGTTGCTGAGACGTTTAGGTTTTAGGGCTCAGAATGAGAGCATGTGCAGCTATAGTCTACACTCCTAGTATCCCGCCGAATAACCCCTATGATACTCCCCAATATAAGCCCCCCCCTTAATTACCCCTATAATACTCCCCTAGATATAGCTCCTTTACAGAAGTTAGACCCTAAGCCCTAAGCCCTATTTAGCTCATTTGCAGCTGCCACTTTGTTCATGACCTCTTGCTGCTTCAATCTGTGCCCACGTAAACTTGAGTGCCTATAGGCCTATATATGGTTTCTAAATCCTGCTACTTCGGGGTTTGGGGTTAAGGGTTCAAGGTTTAGGATTTAGTTTAGGATTCTGGATTTCCCGAAACTGGATTTCCCGAAATTAGGGGACCATTGTGGGGGTCCCTGTCCTAAGGATTCCAGTATATTTGGGGTCTATATTGGGTTCCGTTATTTTGGAAACTACCACTTTCTTCCACGACTCTACAACTACACCTGGGGCTCTAAGTCTGCATCTGATATCTACCCTGGGCCTTCATGTCTACATAGGGTTTAGGCTACGTTTCTGCTGGCGAAGATGACTATGACGCCGATGATGGTGATGAAGATGAAGATGATGTACTGCCTCCTACTGGCACCGCTGTTGATACTGCAAATCCTACATGAGCTATAGTCTAAACTCCTAGCATCCCCCTTAGTAAGCCCTATAATAGGAACCCTATATAGTCCCCTATATAACCCCGTTTAAGGAGTTTAGACTATGGCTTACATGACCCTGAGTACCTAAACCTTGGGGCATCATGGCGTTCTAGCAAATGTAGCAAAGTTCTACTTGAGGCTTGAGTGTTTCAAGCTTCAAGGCACTTGGGGTTGTGGTAGAACCCATGCACGCTGATTAGAGCCAAAAAAATGGAATCAACGGCCAGAAAAGAGTCAGCTAACCATTAGAATAGGTCACTGGCTTTCGTTTAGGCTTTAGGGTTTCAGGGTATAAGCCCTGGGGATTTTTATGGGTTTCAGGTTTCAGGGCTAAGTGCTAAGGGCTTTCCAGGTAAACCCAAAGCTACCATCCATAAACTCAACACTCGTTCAACTACCCGGCATGGGGTAAAAGGTTTAGGGTTTAGTGCAGTATGGGGTATAGGAAATACCAACCCCTAGACACCCTCGACCCTAAACCCCAACGTGCAAAACCCTAAACTCTAAACCCCAAAACCCTAAAGCAATGATAGCTCATGCAAGCACGCCGCATAATCCTGAGCCTGCTCGGAAGACGTCTTCTACATGGAGCTTAGGGTTTGGTGTTTTGGGTTAAGGGTTCAGGGTTTCGGATTTAGGGTGTGGGGTTTTGGGTTTCAGGTTTCGGGTTTTGGGTTTATAAGGTCCTGCGAGATCCTGGGTAACTATAGCCTACGTAGTCGCGATTCATGACACCCTAAGATTCCAAGCAGCTAAAACTTAGGTACTAGGAATTTGGGCACAAGTATTTGGGACCTTATAAGGCCACAATTCGCTTCCCTGGGTACAGATACTTTAGCCAACTTACATACATACAGTTGCGGCATGCGTGAAAACTGCAAGCCGTGCTCATCAGAGATCCGCGGTTCAAACTTGGTCTAAGCCTAGGGTTTCTACAAGGATCTAGAGGGTTTGCGGTTAGAAGTTTAAGTTTAGGGTTTAGGGTTGCATCTACGTGAGATAATCCCCACGCGTCGATTGAGACACCCCCACCGCAACACCCTGAGACCCCTGGACTAGAAAATGCTGCCAGGTCGCATTGAGATCCCAAGGTTGGTTGGATGCCATGGCTACGAGGAAGGGAATTTGGGGTCCTTCGGCCCTAGACCCTAACCTGGGCCCCAAAAGTAGGTAAAATAATAGCCCCAAGTATGAAAAGCAGCCCAACAGGAAATTATGTTACATACTTTTAGGGTTCAGGAAGCCCTAAACCACAAGCTTGACTACATAAACCTGAGCGCAAAACACTTCTGAGGGTGAGATCAGGGCGCCTTAGAGAGAAGTGAAAGGGGTCTGAGAGTCTGAGCTGGGGTGATGCAGAGACGTGGGCCCAAGGTTTAGAGTTGGAGCTAAGGGGAATTAGAATTTAGCGTTGGACCTCCTTCATTGAAAGGTTTAGGATTTAGGGCCCCTACTTATTCAAGAGGGTCCTACATTATGGGTTAAGGACACACGCCTTAGGCTTTAGGCTTTAGGGCCTGGAGCTTCAGGTTCAGAGTTTCAGGGAGTTGTGGTTGCGGATGTAGGCGCGTCAAGATCAAGGTTGTAGGGTCTCTACCTTAGAGTCCCTAGAGCTGCAACTACAACTCCTTCACTAAACCCGGAATCCTTAACCCTAGACCCTCAACCCTACTTTGCTCTACATCTCGCTGTCTCGTCTGGCTCTGGGCATCAGCAGAACATGAGCAAACATGGGCCATTACAACAGCAATGCTGCTAACTTGAGAAGTCGTGGCAGCAGCTGCCGCGTGAGCGGCGAGAGGAGGAGGAGGAGGAGGAGGAGGAGGAGGAGGAGGGGAGGAGGAGGAGGAGGGGACGTTAAAAACAATAATACTAGTAGTAGTGGTAGCAGTAGGGGTGGTACCAGCAACAGCAGCAGCAGTGTGCAGTGGCGGTAGCAGTAGCAGGAGGAGTTATACCAATAGCTCGGGCAATGATTAGTGGCAGCAGGAAGTCCCCAATTACGCTTGTAGGGCGGACAAGTATGGACAAGTATGGAAAACTGGGGGGTTGTTGGGATAGCATCCAGGATGGCAAGGCTTCATGCGCTTTTTCAATGCGGGTAGTTTAGAAGCTTACGAAACATATCATCAACATCTGCAGATTCCTGGCACAAGACGGACACCTCCCCCCCCATTCTTTAGGCGCTGCCACCTAAAATGTTAACAAGACCTCCCACACGGATCGTTGAATTGAGTCTCTAAGTTTGAAACCTTCAGCTAGGCCCCAACCATTTTGTTTGGTCCGGTGACCCAGATCTTTTGAGTTTGCGGCCTGCTTGCCGACAGCAGAGTGGAAAGCCCCGAAGTACCCATAGTTTGCAATACAAGAACGCAGCCCCTGATTTTTTAAGAATCCTGATAAATATGCAGCCCTGTACCTGCATAATCTCCGCACACCAAAACTTCGCACAAGCTTCAAACCCAACTGCCATGGCTTTGAGAAACCTCATTTGGCGAGCGCGGCCCAAGCGGACGTCCAGCGTTGAAGCGCAAATCGCTTCAAAGAGACCGAGCAGCAACAGCCGCAGCGGTTGGGCTTTGGGTCGTCAAGTGCTTTGGTTTAGTATTTAGGGCTTTGAGGGAATAGAGGTTAGGGGTTTGTGGATTTGAGGGTTTAGGGTCTAGGTGCTTGGGGTTTTGGGGTTTAGGGTTCTCAGGCGTGGGGCCGCAGCACACCTTGCAATAGCTATGAATTGCAGGTAGGAGTATCAAGCAGTAACAATATTCAATAAGTATTTTCATCATCACAGTAGTAGTAGTAGTAGTAGTAGGCGTCCCCCCCAGGGCCTACGCTTTACTTAAAATGGACTATAATGGGAAAGGGGTGGGGGGTGGGGGCGGGGTAGTTCCGTGCTGAGGAAGTT